AAACACTCTATTGTTTGAGTTAAACTTAAGTTGATGCTCAAATCCAGTGTTTTTGTATTCATGGTAAATCAAGCTCATCTGCAGTGAAAAATAACTTCAATTTATAATCTTTGCTTATTCTATGTGAATAATGTGTTTTGTTGCATAAACCGAGTAAACAATGTTACTTTCTTTAGTATAAAATATGAGAAAAGCATGTTATTAGACCGGTTGCAGCTCATCTAAGTCTCACTCAGTCATCTTATTTTGTTTGATTTCTTAGGGTTACCACTTTAACTGAACGGCTGGAGAAACTAGAAGAACAGGTTATGAACTGATTTAATGACTCCTTTAATGTTGGATCCATATAACTGTATAAATATTTTTTCCACCGTTCTTCAGCCCTCTCTTTGCAGCTGGTTAAATTACTGCTTGCTTTGTGTCTTCAGTCAAACAAAGCACTAGAAAGTATAAAGGAGAGTATGGAGAAGATTAAGAAATCTCAGGGTGATTCTGCAAAAGAAACTGTCAGGTGAGATGCATTCAGTCTTTGTTGTCATGTCTACTTTAATTACAGACCATGGCACTAGGCCACACATGTCTTTGGAATAATTATGGGCCATAGATGTATAAATTTGTATTAGAAATTGTTTTCTGTGACTGATTAAAATAATTTGTGCCACATTGTAGAGTTCTGTGGCCCAGACTTATCATTGTTTGAGTTAAACTCTATCTGAAGTTTAGACCCAGTAGTTTTGTATATATGATAAACCAAACTCATCTATCATGTAAAATGTTTTCAACTTATAATATTTGCTTATTCTGTGAATAATGTGTTTTGTTGAACAAACTGTGAGTAAATGACATGATTTGCTTAATATAGACCTTGGAAAAAAGTTCAGTTCTTAGGTCAGTTGCAGCTAAACTAAATCTCAGTCACTCATGTTACTTTTGTTTGTTTAAGAGTTGCCACCTTAAGTGAACAACAGAAGATGGAAGAGAAAACACAATTCCAAGCACTGCTGAATAGAATGGAGAAGCTGGAAGGACAGGTTACTAACTGATTATTCAATCTTTTATGTCAGATTAAATTATGTATAAATGATGTTTTATTTCCACCTTTCTTCATCACTGTCTTTGCAGCTGGTTAAATTGCTTGCCTATCATTGCTTTGTGTCACCCAGGTCACCAATGCACTGCAAAGGAGAATGGATACACTAGAGGGACA